TCATTAAGCGCCTTTCTTTAGACTCCAAAGTCTTTAGACTTGTAGGTATGATTTTGATTTTTTTATTGGACGCAGTACGATAAAGCGTCAAGTTCCCTATACCATACGCGAAAAAATTATGCTTGTTTTCCTGACAGCCTTATTAGTGTACTCTATACAATTTCCTCACGTATTTTAACTTTAAACTTATTTAAGCTACGCTTTTAAGCCATTAAAGCACTCTAAAGTAAACCTAGCTAGCAGGGCGTTAACTACAGGAGGGCGTTATTTACAGGAGGGCGTTATTTACAAGCGCCGTGACTGAAGAGGGGCGTTAAATACAGGAGGGCGTCAAATACAGGGGGGCGTTAAATACAGGGGCGTTAAATACAGGAGGGCGCGATAGGGCGTGAAAGGGCGTTAAATACGGGTTGCCAGCGAGCCGGTAAGAACCCGACCGCCGGCTTTTGGCCAGGTCGAGCAGCCGGCAGCCGGGATTTTGCCAGATGGCCCGGCAGAAAACCAGCAAGTTCCCGGCTGCCAGCCGGCAGAGCCATTTTTTCCGGCCGCCATCCGGCAGAAACCCGGCAGCCATTTCACTGTGAACGTCATTTCGTTGCGCAACCCTGGCGCAACCCTCAAACTTGGGTAATTGAACCGAAATAGGGCTGACCCGCGGGTGACCCCGGAGAGCGACAGGACCAGATGAACAACTATTGCTTTCATTGTTCGTACCAGCTTCCAGTAGTTTGGATACTTCCGGCGGTTCTCTTGCATTAATGGGGGGCGAGGGTCGAGCTTCTCGGTGCTTACAGATTTCAATTGTTAAAAAACGCCACAGACATTGATTTTTCGTCCAACTCTTCGCTTTTGATTTGCTCAGTTATAACGATCCTGAAAACAGCCTCCAAAAATATTGAACCAAATTGACTGAAAACACGTGATTATTTGTATTTTCAAACGGCGATCTATGGTCTAATACATTACAGAGCGCCAAAATCAGGGGAACATGGCTAAATCGCGTTCACTAAACAATTTTTCGGCATTTTCGGCTAGAAAGGTATTTTCCAGCTGTCTGAGAATAGCCCCAAAAGATGCGCCAAACAATTTTGCATCGAATGATGTGTTTTTTACCTCGAATACACCGCTGTTTATGGGCGAAAAAGCGAGAAAAGTGAAATGCTTGTCCGAAACGCCCCCGACCTGGCCCACCCCAACAACATAACCGTCGACGCGCTGACCGGCCAACTAGTTTGTGATCCGCCACCATCAAAAACTATTCTTGAAATGGGGAAGGGGGGCCATGCCAAAAATTTTAGTAAAATTAGATTGTGAATTTCCGGCTTTTTAATTATGATTTTGTATCGATATTAAGAGTGTTAGTATGTTAGTATTTTTATTTTATTTCTTTAGTGCCATTTCCGATATTTTCGCCTGTAAAATTCGGATGTTGCAGCTCGACGGATTCTGGAATATGATATAAAATAAAAGGATTTGATCCTTAATACAATAGTTATTAAATGAAGGAAGTTGCCCTAATAGAAGTTTTTTTATAAAATTTCTCATTGATGCGAATGTATAATTTCAATAAATTTTTATCTGAAAGCGCCAATATAGTAATAATAATATTATTAACCTATTGTTGATTGTGGGAAATTGTTAGGATCAACTCAGATACGAATTTTACACAGAAACAATAAAATTAATCGTGATTTCGTCTTGTAACGCTGGACCTACCCTCAAACTTGGGTAATTGAACCGAAATCGGGCCGACCAGTGGGTGACCCCGGAGGGCGACAGGACCAGATGAACAACTATTGCTTTCAGTATTCGTACCACCTTCCAATAGTTTAGATACTTCCGGGGGTTCTCTTGCATTAATGGGGGGCGAGGGTCGAGCTTCTCGGTGCTTTACAGATTTCAATTGTTAAAAAACGCCACAGACATTGATTTTTCGTCCAACTCTTCATTTTTGATTTGCTCTGTTAAGATGATCCTTAAAACGGTCTCCAAAAATATTGAACCAAATTGACTGAAAACCCATGATTATTTGTATTTTGAGACGGCAATCATTTGTCTAATACACTACAAAGCACCAAAATCAGGGGAACATGGCTAAATCGCGTTCACTAAACAATTTTTCGGCATTTTCGGCTAGAAAGGTATTTTCCAGCTGTCTGAGAGTAGCCCCAAAAGATGCGCCAAACAATTTTGCATCGAATGATGTGTTTTTTACCTCGAATACACCGCTGTTTATGGGCGAAAAAGCGAGAAAAGTGAAATGCTTGTCCGAAACGCCCCCAACCTGGCCCACCCCAACAACATAACCGTCGACGCGCTGACCGGCCAACTAGTTTGTGATCCGCCACCATCAAAAACTATTCTTGAAATGGGGAAGGGGGGCCATGCCAAAAATTTTAGTAAAATTAGATTGTGAATTTCCGGCTTTTTAATTATGATTTTGTATCGATATTAAGAGTGTTAGTATGTGTCACGTCCCCGTGACGATCACGGTTACCTAACCTAATAAATCCCTCAAATAACTATAACTCAATACAATACGCTGCTACGAGCAGCCTTCTCCTTCTTGCCGGCAATCCTCCGAAGCCCGCAGAGCCGCGCTGATTGACCGTGTTCCCCGTCTCTTCTCTATGGGCGTCTCCGCGATCCAGGGCCACAACATCGTGTTCAAGTACAAGCCCTCGTCCACCGACGTTCGCATGTCCACTTTGCATGCGGCTCCTCGGCAACCGGAAGATGTCCCTGTATTCCCCCGGTGCCCAACTATATAAGCGGCCGCCCTCTCCCGCTCTTCAAGTCGACTTCTCCATCTCCGTCTTCCCGGGCTCCAGCTAGCTGTTCGCCACCGCGAAGCTACGTCTGATTCCCGGCCTTCTTCTACGCCTTATTCGTGCTCGCCTTCATCGCCATCGCCTTTGCCCTATTTCCCCCTTGTCTTCTGTTTGATCGTTTATTGTAACAGTCTACCCCACCGGGAGTCTGTAATAAACTGTATCCCCTGACCCAGTCGTTTGCTCTCCCAGGCTATCGAGGCGCAAATTCTTGTCACAGGTGTGACAAAGTGTTAGTATTTTTATTTTATTTCTTTAGTGCCATTTCCGATATTTTCGCCTGTAAAATTCGGATGTTGCAGCCGACGGATTCTGGAATATGATATAAAATAAAAGGATTTGATCCTTAATACAATAGTTATTAAATGAAGGAAGTTGTCCTAATAGAAGTTTTTTTATAAAATTTCTCAGTGATGCGAATGTATAATTTCAATAAATTTTTATCTGAAAGCGCCAATATAGTAATAATAATATTATTAACCTATTGTTGATTGTGGGAAATTGTTAGGATCAACTCAGATACGAATTTTACACAGAAACAATAAAATTAATCGTGATTTCGTCTTGTAACGCTGGACCTACCCTCAAACTTGGGTAATTGAACCGAAATCGGGCCGACCAGTGGGTGACCCCGGAGGGCGACAGGACCAGATGAACAACTATTGCTTTCAGTATTCGTACCACCTTCCAATAGTTTAGATACTTCCGGGGGTTCTCTTGCATTAATGGGGGCGAGGGTCGAGCTTCTCGGTGCTTTACAGATTTCAATTGTTAAAAACGCCACAGACATTGATTTTTCGTCCAACTCTTCATTTTTGATTTGCTCTGTTAAGATGATCCTTAAAACGGTCTCCAAAAAATATTGAACCAAATTGACTGAAAACCCATGATTATTTGTATTTTGAGACGGCAATCATTTGTCTAATACACTACAAAGCACCAAAATCAGGGAACATGGCTAAATCCGCGTTCACTAAACAATTTTTCGGCATTTTCGGCTAGAAAGGTATTTTCCAGCTGTCTGAGAATAGCCCCAAAAGATGCGCCAAACAATTTTGCATCGAATGATGTGTTTTTGACCTCGAATACACCGCTGTTTATGGGCGAAAAAGCGAGAAAAGTGAAATGCTTGTCCGAAACGCCCCCGACCTGGCCCACCCCAACAACATAACCGTCGACGCGCTGACCGGCCAACTAGTTTGTGATCCGCCACCATCAAATAACTATTCTTGAAATGGGGAAGGGGGGCCATGCCAAAAATTTTAGTAAAATTTAGATTGTGACATTCCGGCTTTTTAATTATGGTTTTTATATCGATAGTAAGAGTCTTAGTATACTAGTATTTTTTTATTTGAGATTTTTAGTGCCGTCGCATTTTTTTTCATGGATGAAAATGTATAATTTTAATAAATTTTTATCTGGAAGGGCCAAAGTGCTAATAATAATATTATTGAGCAATGGTTGATATCGGGAACTCGTTAGCATCAAATAAGATATTAATTCTACCCAAAAACCATAATAATAATCTTATTTTATTTTGTCACTCCGGGCCTACCCTCAAACTTGGGTAAATGAACACAAATGGGGCTAACCTTCCAGTGACCCCAAAAGGTGACAGGACCAGACGAACAACTATTGCTTCCAGTGTCCGTGCAAGCACCTCGCCGTTTTAATGCTTCTGGGGGTTCTTTTGCATTATCGGGGGAGGGGTGAAGGGAGTATGAAGCTTCGAGGGGACCTTACAAAATTTTTGTTCTAAGGCGCCCAGGAATAATAATCCAAGAATAATGAATTGTGCGAAATTGGGCAATAACCAAAATGCTGTACTTCCGATGTATATAATCCAGAAAGTCCAAGTATTTTTATTTCGTAAAAAATCAGCAAATACGTATATTACTTTGGAATCGTGCGAATGATATGTATGTACATTTTGCGAAGGAAAACATGCCCAGGACGTAGAAATACTTTTACACGAAAATCTGGTTCGCAAACCACGATTTGACAGACCATATTAAATCGTTTTCTCGCTTCAAAATTGACTAGAAACGTTCTTTTATAAGCTTTTTGTACAGACAATTTGAAAGCATGAAAATATCAAGAAGAAATAGTCAAATGTAAACTTCAGAATCGGTTTCTTGGAACGCGACGTCTTCCTCGAGGGCGTGCTCATTGACAATCGTGAGATCGGGCGGGGGATTCTTTTCTTTTCGCAGAATTCCCTTTATTGGGGCACGAGTGGACAAGTGGCGTCTAAAAATTGAAAATATACATATGCTAATTTTTTACAACCTGTTGCTGTACAGTTTCTCCCCGATCCACTGATCTCCATCGTACCATGACGTTTTTCTGGGTCATAGAGATTTCGTCCTCACTAAAATAACTATTAAATCTCTGTTAATAATAAGGGTATATTTTAATATAATTAAACTGCCTCAGATCTAACCTCGAATTATTCATCGGCCCAATCATTATCGAATTATTAACCGACTGGCCGTAGCTGAGGCTGTAAGGACTAAGTTACAAAATTAGCATTTATGGCTTCGAACCTGCTGCTTCTACGACCATTTATTAACTTTACGCACCCAGGACACATTGAAATTGCGTGCCGCAAACAGAAGCAATTGACGATAAAAGCTCTAGTGTATTCTAAAATCATTTTTGGTCAGATTTTTGCCTAATTTGCATACCTGAACTTGCCATACAAAATACATAGAAATTTAAGCAATGGTTGAGTACTTCTAACATATTTGATATGTTACGATAGAGCTGAAAGTCAAAATAAAGCTTAAATTAACTTCTTCGAGTACCTGAAATCCATACAACTTGTCGGTGGCATCATTTTGTAGGACCATTACAAGCATTTGAGGCACATTTCCGAGAATAAATATAAAACATATTGCCACCATCAATACGGTAGCTTCTTTTCAGTAAAGCTTTTGACGAGGTTTACTTCTTTTCTAAAAAAATATACTATAAGAGTACAAAATTCAAAACAAACCCTAATTGCACAGCTTCAGAATGGTATGCTATTGAACTGCGGTGATTTGCGAATTGTTGGGCTTTTGTAGGCGTTTTCTTGAGAATTTTCCGACGGTTTTTCTGGCAAATTCAAGGTATAAAATTATCATCAAACCCTTACCTTTGCAATCTGCAGCTTCCTAGCGATTATCACATTTAATGCAGCCATCACCAAGACGCAAAGAAATCGTATGCATTCCCGCACGACTTTGTACGTTTGAAATATAGCCCAATTAGGCTCCCTAGGGTTTGGATTTTTTTAATTTGAGGATTAACTCACTTGCATAATAACTCCTTATTATTAGCATTTGTATATCGGTTATCCGGTCTGATCGTTATTTGCCTTTGGAAGGCTATCGGTGCGTGAAGAATCAATGCTGCTATTAATGTGAGGGCCACTCTCCTCCGGCACGCTTTTTTCGGGTCTCGAGGTCTTGATAGATGAGGGTGGTTTATTAGAATAAATCTAAAAAATTGATCCTTGCTTTATCAAGCCCTTACCTTTCAATAGTCAACATAAACGCACAGTACAGCCCCGCAATCAAAAATCCGTTGATGAAAATCGCGTCCAGATAGGTTAGGTAAAAAATGACATAGTAGCTTTCGTAGCCATCATCATCAAGTAGGAGATGAAATACTATGCATGATAATCCGCACTAAAAATCCATTGATATTTTTATATAAGCAAAATCAGCTGCGTAAGTTGTTGTAAAACGTACCAAGTCGAAGATAGCTAATGCTCGTATGTACATGAATGGGATAGTTTTTAGGGATGGGCATTGGAGGGTGCGGAGGTTTAGGATGTTGCCAATGATGCCGAAAATACAGAGGACGAGCTGAAAAAAAGCGGTTAAATGGATTTTCTAGTTGTCACTGTCCCTTTAGAAAGTATGGTTTTGGATTGTCTTAGGACGAGACTTAGGCTTAAATTTAAGTTTAGCTTTAGCATAGGCTTAGGCTTAGGCTTCGGCTGAAGCTTAGGTTTTGGCTCAGGCTTACAGCTAGGTTAGGCTTAGGCTTAGGCTTAGGCTTATGCTCAGGCTTAAGGTTAGGCTGAGGCTGAGACGAAAGTTTTGGTGTATGCTTAGGTTTCGGCTTCACCTTCGCTTATGCTTGGGCTTTGGCTAGGCTTAGTCTTATGCTTAGGCTCCGGCATTACGTCTCTGTGTTTACCTGTATATTCTTAAACAACAACTGCAAATGTTCCAATTCCGGCGGTTTGGCTGCGGTATCATTCGTGAGCGCACAAAAGGAGTTGAAGCTCATGTAATCTGGAAATGGAGTTCTTTGCCCTCGTCCTCAACCCAACGATCCCATGGTCCCGGGGCCACTCCAGCCAGGAAATGGAACCCGCCGACCCCGCACGTCACAACACAGAAATTCGGGGGGGCTGCTCTTCCCAGTAAATTAAAACAGGTGGAGGGGCCTTTTGCACACAAAAAAGAAAGACAGGAGGAAGGAGGTTCAGTGGGAAGAATTTTGGATCCAGGATCAGAAAAAATTGAGAAGATTGTCTATGATTTTTAGTATCACTTTAGCTTAAGGGCGTTTTATTTTTAAAGGGGCTGGTAAAGAAAAATTATATATTTTTGCTCATGGATTGAATATAGGTTCTGTAGCGCCCGCGACACTCAAAGCAACATTTTTGGCTGCTCGCCATAGTCCATTACGCATTAAACGTGGAGGTTATGGCGCGTCCTCGACACGCAACGCGTTGAGTCTTTTGAACGCCTTGAAGTCGTTGAAAACAATTACGTCTTGGAAAGGGTAAAGCATGCGTTGCGTACCGCGGTCGCGGAAGCACGAAAATCTGTATGTATTTTATATTTATCGAGAATTTACTATATATAGATTGCGTTCCTTAGGCGTCTGTGAAACTAAGAAACCGGGAAGCTAAAAAATCCGAGTAGCTGATCTATGATTAATGCGCTATGGAAATATAGGTATGCAAAATAAGACTACCATCAGCCATCCATACTCTACCTATACCCCAACCCCAAAAATCAGAACCTATAAGCAGTTCCATCGCTGCAGCTCCGTGGCGCCCAAAAAATAGCTGAAGCCCATCGACGTGGATTAAAAATTCTTTATGGTGCCCCGGGGCGGTTGGGCTGAAGCTTGAAGGAGGTCGAGGGAACGGGGAGCCCAACCCACTGAAAGGAAGACCCAGCCCCAAAACCCCTAATTTCCAGAAACCTCCCGCCCTGGGGGCAGTATATAGGGGGTTCGGGAGGATCCGGGTGGAGGAGCAGGTTAAGCCGAGGAGGAAGAGCTGGAGGATTGAGAATCTGGGGTGGGAATGAAGCCTTGAACATGGCTTGGCAGCAAGGATATTGCTAGGGCCAAGCGAGAAGGGCCAATTTTGACAGAGGAAAGAAGCCGGGTGGGGTGGAAATGCCCTCTGGGGGGCGCCTGATTTGCCGGTGGTGCTCAGATTGCAGCTTGGCGTTTGGCTGCGTCACTGAGGGGGGTTGAAGGATTGGATGGGCAGGGAGGGAGGGATATTTTGGACCGGAAATTCCGGGTTCTGGGGTCGAAGGCGTTTAATTCTGGGCTAAAAGTGGCCCAAAACAGACTACATTTTTAAAGAAACTGTGAAGGCAGTTTCGAGTCGTGTAGATCGAGGTTTAGCAAGAGGTGAATATATATTTGCGCAATACCTTAAAGAACCGCCAATCAATCACATATAAGCGTAATATCTTTTGCCAGGTGTGGAGATTATTTGAAGGGACGTGGACGGCATGGCTTCGGTTTTTAGGCTTAGGCTTAGGCTTAAACTTGGGCTTATGCATCGGCTTGGACAAGGGCTTAGGCTTCGGCTTAGGTAGAATTTTTGGGGTCTTAGGCTTGGCTTGGCTTCGGCTTAAGCTCAGCTTGTTCTTAGGCTTCGGGTTAGGCTTAGGCCAAGGGTTATGCTTAGATTAGGTTTTGCTTAGGCTTGGGCTTGGGCTGTGGCTTAGGCTCAGGCATAGACTTGGGGCTGGGCTTAGGCATAGGCTTGGACTTAGTCTTAGTTTTAGGCGTAGGTTAGGCTTAGGCTTAGGAAGCTTAGCGAACTTTACAGGGAGCGTGACATCTGATTTTCCAGGTGCAGAGCAATTTTTAATGCGCAAGCGCAATATGAATAGATGCAAAGCCTTCAATGAATAAACGACAATGAAGGAGAACCACAAAAAGATATACCACGAGACCTGGCCGAGCTCAATGGGTCCCGGTATCCCACCAAAAGCCCCCAAAGGGCCCTTGAAGCCGTGGAGGGCAAATGGTCAAGCTCGAATCGAGGTGCCCCCCAGCCACCCGTCATCCGACACCAGTTCAGGGCAAAAGGCAGCCCTTTGCTGAAAATGCCTTTTTCTACCGGCACCACCCCCCGAAAAGGGTCTCCAGCCCCGCATGTCGACGAATTGATCCTTCATATGCAAATAGGGGGGCGTCGAGTGGCCTTGGCTGCCTAGGAAATCGAATCTAAATGGCTGGGGGTCTGAGAGGAGGTCGAGTGCTCGTCATGGTTCCTGGAGCACCGGTATTTTGCTAATTTGGGCGTTTTGTTTGGGGGTTGGGGTGGGCAGGTGAAAATCCAATTCATTATAATTCCCTTAAAGCCCCCAGTTTTTAGCTTGAAATAAGCACTTATGCTGTGGAATACAGGGATTAGGCTCCGGCTCGGGCTTGGCTTGGGCTTAAAGGTACACTAAAGCCTCGTTGGTTTGGTTACCGGCCGGTAACCGCCCGCGGAATAGCAAACAGGGTTACGGTAGGTGCTCGCCGCGGAGCAAAACCGAACCCGCGCCACTCGCCTAGGGCGAGCGCTCTAGACCACTAGGCCATGGGACAGACGGGATAGGGGAGGGGGAAGGGGGATAAGAAGGGTCCGGGCGTTGCGCGGCAGAGGGCCCGGATTTCCGACCGCGAATTGACTTTTTGCACGAGATTTTAGTGTACCTTTAAGTTCATGCTCAGGCTTAGGCGTAGGCGTTAGGGTTAGACCTGGCTTAGGCTTAGGCCTGGTCTTGGGTTACGGCTTCGGCTTAGGCTTACTGTAAAGTGTTTTTACTCAGGCTGGCGTTTTGGAATGGGACCAAGCCTATCCTGTTCAGAATTTTTCGCTGATTCCGAACCCGTTTTCCAAATTTGCTGCGGACTTTGCGTTAAAAAGTCATTTGAGGTCGAAATTAAGCTTAAAAACGGCATGGATTCGGATGCTGGCCCACTATTCTCTGTCTGGGCCCAGGAATTGCTGTGCCCGCTATCTACCCTTCCGAAGCCCCCTGCCCAGTTGGCACCATGGTGCATTGGCAAGGTGTTCGCTTGCCGAGTACAGGGCGGCGGTTCGAGCCCGGCCCTGCACAATTACTTTTGCTTTTTGCACAAAAACGCATGATTTTTTGCATCAACTCGTGCTTTGACCTCTAAAACAGTTACCGACCCAGTTTTAACGTTGAAGATGACGACAACTTACAAATAACGCAAAAACATCTGGACTTTGGCACTTTTTATAGTATAAATATCGAATAACTTTTTAAATAAAAGTCGGCAGCAGATTTGGATATCGGATTCGGAATCAGCGAAAAATTCTGCACAAGATAGACTTGGTCCCATCCGAAAACGCCAGCCTGAGTAAAAACACTTTACAGTTAGGCTTAGCTTACGCATAGCTATAAACTAGTATTAAACTAGTACGGAATAAATAACTTATTTTAAATATCGGTTCTGAGCGAAAAAATCCTACTATGAAGTGAGCTCGAGCTCCGGTCATAGCTCTCGTCAACCCGAAATATACTAATTTAGTCTTTTTGTTTAGAGGTTGAGGCGGATCGCTAAAAAAATATTATTCTTCTGAATAATGGCGCCTGGGGTTAATGAAGGCCCCCAATTTTCCTTGACCAATCCTTGAATTGCGAATCCACACGCATTGCCCTACACAAATATACATCCAGAAATGATGGCCAAACATCGACGGAAATATGGAAGGAGTGGGTTGGGTGGTGGGAGTAAACATAATCTCAGGTCGGAACCCTAGAAGCCTGAGATTTTTGAAACCAGTGGAACATCAGGAGGAGGACGAGGAGGAAGGATCTGGGGAGAATGATCGTCATCACGAGGGGATGCGGGGGCTTTAGCTTTCAATTAAGGAAGCGATGAGGGGATAGTAAAAAGGGCAAACAGTTGAGAGGGGGGAAAGTGTGATTTAGGGTGGGGAGGAGGGATATTGCGTTAGGGAGAAAGAGATGGACTTTGGCTTCATCAGGGTTGAAAAAATCGTTGACTTAGGCCTAAGCTAAAGCCTAAGCCTAAGTTTTGTAAGCTTATATATTTAACAAAAACAATAAACCAAAATCATAGAGCTTAAGAAAGTTTATTGACTTTTCTAGCACCCCCTAACCTGCGTCATACCTTAATAAATATTCATAACAAGTGGAGGTGTTTATTATTGCACTTTAGGTGTCAGATGATGTTTGGAAAATTAAGACTACATTTTTAAGGGATTTGTACATACCTAAAGAGTTATTTCCTGATGAGTACGAACGAAAACTCGCAACTCTCACGTGAGTAACCCCCGGGCCGACATCTCATTTTTCAACATCCCATTAGCATTAGCTCATGTTTCCCCCAGGCAGCAACAAATTGTTTTAAGCCCCCCCCACCACAAATGACTAGCTGAAAGTACCAAAAACTTGTATAAACTGCATAAACTATTTTAATTACGGCCAACTACGGTGCTGAACTGTTAACGGGGAGGGGGCTAGCAGGAGCATGAATTTTCGTTGTTTCGTATAAACCGGTTTACTCATAACATATAATGTATTTTATAGCGTTCTAATAGTTGCTAAACAATCATAAAAATTGGTAAATTTTCGAAAAACTTGAAAAATTGGATTTTCTAACCCATTTTTCGTAAATTTTATAATTTTTATGAGTTCATAGCCAAAAGATGTTTAAAATACTAAAAATCGATTACTGGGAAAAATTGTTTCATTTGCTGACCCCCCCCCCCGCTAACAGTCCAGTACCCCAACTTCAACTAAAAATATTAAATATAACTCCCACCTATCAAATGAACCATTCGATGAACCACGACTTGGGCAGTAATTCCAGCCCTATCGACCCAAAGGACCGGAAGGAAGCCAATCCCGAAAAAAAGGAGAAGCAATGAGTTCCAGATGCCCCTAATCGCACTCCCGTGTTTACATTTCGCGCCTGTCTTTACAGGCCCATTTCAGGTTCATAAAAACTTGGGCACCCACCCACAGCCACTTGCCAGCCACTACTCTTTTTATGTCTTTTCCGGTGGTCAAAAATGGTTCTTTGGCATTATCGGGGGACCAGCTCAGGGCCGTAGCTGACCCAAAATTTCGGGGGGCGGCAAGGTTTCGGGGGGGCGGCGGTTCAAAAACATCTGCCGTTTACCGCCCTTTTTCAAAAATTTTCAAAAATGAGAAGGGTCCCCCCTTATCATTTTTTCGCCATCTGCAGATTTCGGGGGCGGCATGCCCCCGCCCCTCCTACGGGCCTGGACCAGCTTTTCCCATATGTCCAAAAATGCCTATTACCATGTTAATACGCATTTCATTGTGTTTTTAGTAAAATTTTATTATATTTAAAGTGGAAAAACGATCAAGCAAAGCTTAGCAAAATTTTAGCTGAAGTTTTTTTATTGAAAATCGGCCATTTTTGCAAGAAAAATCTATATTTTTGTATTTTTAAAGTCTATAAAATTATCTACACTCTGTCAAATAACTATAGAATCAAGCGTTTTTTGCCTGTAACTTTCTTTCTATTGATCGGTTCGACTCGAAAATATTAGTGTAGCCCTGCTTCGATAGCAGAAAACTGTGTGCAAAGTCTGGAGGAGAACCGATTTGTGGAAGGTACGAATCCGGAAAGCTTCGTTCTGAACTTTGTCAAAAAACTATAGAATCACTTTTAAATCACCGATTTTTCTACTCGTTTATCTTTTCCGACCATTTTTTTCCAACGCGCATACATTTCTTTACACATGAAATATACTTTGAATGAATAGTTTGGGCGTCCAAGCTCAGAACAGGATTTTCCAAAAACTGATTTTAACAAAGAAATCCACATTCTTCTAAAATTCTGACAATAAACAACGATGGAAAAATATGTCACTTTGCCTGCGGAAAGAGCATGCCAAGGTACACATTTGTTTATTGGAACCTACGCTCTATTTACGAACGTTCGTCCTCTACGGTCACTTTAGTGTTTGGCCGCGGCTCTCCAGGTATTTTCCTGACCATTTAACAAAGGACACGTGGCGTCGACGGTTCGACAGAGCATATCTTTGCCGTCAGGCTGTTTCCCGGAAAACGAAACGCACCTAGGTACTCGCTGTCAAATGCGCATTCCGAGGTACAATCAACATTTAGGAAATACAATTTTGATATGGCAGAATTTTAGAAAAATGTGGATTTCTTTGTTAAAATCAGTTTTTGGAAAATCCTGTTCTGAGCTTGGACGCCCAAACTATTCATTCAAAGTATATTTCATGTGTAAAGAAATGTATGCGCGTTGGAAAAAAAATGGTCGGAAAAGATAAACGAGTAGAAAAATCGGTGATTTAAAAGTGATTCTATAGTTTTTTGACAAAGTTCAGAACGAAGCTTTCCGGATTCGTACCTTCCACAAATCGGTTCTCCTCCAGACTTTGCACACAGTTTTCTGCTATCGAAGCAGGGCTACACTAATATTTTCGAGTCGAACCGATCAATAGAAAGAAAGTTACAGGCAAAAAACGCTTGATTCTATAGTTATTTGACAGAGTGTATTAAATACAATCTATTAAATCAATTAACTTATTAAAGCTTAAGACAACTTAAGTTGGATTTTAAGCAGAACTTTAAATTTTTCAAATTTAAGTTTGTAAGTTCGCGATGTGTAGTTTTACCTGTTTTGTATTTATATGGTCTTTTAGATTGGATGTCGAATTAAATTATTTATCGAAAAAAGACGACAATCTAGGACATAAATTAGGGTCAAAAGGGCAACGGGAATTGTTTTGAAGTAATGAGATGCCAGGAGAATTGTTAGACACGCGCAAAGGGAGAGAACAAGATCTCATCTGGGGTACTGGGTATCGGGTGGAATTGATAACAGAACAAGGAAATCCAAAACATAAGGGAAAAAATTAACGAATATTCACAGGAGATGTCGAGTGGTTTAGTCATCGATTGGTTCCTTTTCACTGAAAAATGGGCTATTTATAATTATACGTATAGAAATAAATATACAATTTTATTTATATATTATATATAAATAAAAATTATAATTCTATAAAAAGTTTGATCTGCAAAATTTACCCGTCAGTTTCAACACGTCCATTTTCTTTATTCTCAGCCGGGCTGCGAGATCGATCACTAAAAATTGTTTTATTTGAGGTAAAAATGGTTTAAATTAGTTTTCAACGCTATATTCTCCAAAAACCTACCGGCTAGCCGAACGAGAGCGAGAGCGCGAGCGCGAGCGGCTGCGAGAGCGAGATGGAGTGCGAGAGCGGGAGCGCGAGGTGCGGCTCTTCTTGGCGGTCGGGCTCGCCGAGCGGCTCTTTGAGCGCGAAGCCGAACGCTTGCGCTCCTTGATCGGGGAGCGAGAGCTGAAAGGAATGGTTTAATGTAAGATTCTAATCTCTGAAAAGTATCTCTAAATTTTTTTAGCCAAAAACTTACCGACGGCGAGATCCGCGCGAGCGAGAACGGCTGCGAGAACGAGAGCGAGAAACTGAGCGCGAGCGACGACGGCTGAAAAGTTAAATTATAGGAATTATATACGGCATCGTTTTTAATTTATCACTTCTATTAATATACAAAATTAACATACCTCCTTGACCGCGAGCGCGAGCGGCTCTCCCGTCCCGGCTCGGAGATGTCCTCCAGCTTCAGGCGACGGCCGTTCACGTCCTTGTCGTCGAACTTTTCGATGGCCCGTTTGATGTCGTGGCGCGTGGCGAAGCAGACCACACTAAAAAATTTCACTTTAAAGGTGCCAGAACAGGTCATAGAAAGCTCGATTTAAACTTACGCCTCGTTCATGCGTTCCTTATGCGCATCAGCATACGTCACCTCGCAGCCATCGCGACGGAGCATGTCTTTCAGGTCCTAAATAGATTATTACAATCAGCTATAGCTCTTTAGGAATAGAAAACTTTGGATTCTAAAATGTGGGGCTTTCTAAAAAAACTAATTTTAGGTATCAATTTGATCCCCAGATTTCAGAAAATCGAAAAGTTGTCCTGATAGCCTGATTTGATGGCAGCAGCTTCCGATTCGACCGGAATAAAGTTTTCTTGGTTTTTGAAGAGCAAAAAGAATAAAAAAGAAGAATTTAACCGAATACAGTATGAAAGCGGTGTGATCATCGACGACGCGGGATCTCAGCCATACCAAAACGGGGCACACCGCGATGAGACACACACAGAGGACCGGCCCGGCTCAACTCGGAAATGACCCGCGAGATGGCTCTCAGAGAGGGGCTTGTCTCAGGAGGAAGCCGTGAAAAGGACCAGGCACCTCTCTCCCTCCGTGTTATGCACTACCCGATATGGCTTAAATCGGAATCATTTTGTTTGCGAAAAGTTGGCATTTGGGCGGGGCTCGGCGAGAGGTTGAGCGCGTTTTCGAGGAGGTCAAGGTTTTTAAGATACGTACCTGCCACGACACCCTGGATGAGAGGTTTTCCACGCGAATCTTGTGACGAGTTTGGGTTGGTGGGCCATACCTAAAATGGGGGAATTACTAGGGAACCTCGAATAGACCTGGAAAAAATAAGAATTGTCTGAAAATTTGTGCACAGATAGAGTTGACGCTGCGGATCATCTCTGTTTTGAGGAAATTTTCCATTGATCTTTAGAAACTCGAAATACGATATCGTCGACTCTATCTTTCTGCAAATTTTCACAAAATTCCAATTTTTCCGGGCTTATTCGAGGTTCGCTTAATTAGCTCGCTGAAAAAAACTATATAGGGGACGATGAAGCCGTTGGCTTCTACATACTTGGGACGCGTCGAAGATCCCGTTGTGCTATAGGTGGGAGAATGATGTAAGGTAGGATAAAAAATACCTTGAGGCGCCTCCGCGGGGTCCGCCGAAGTCGCGGCCACCACGTCCGCCTCCGTACCGATCGTCAAAGTCTCGTCCACGGCCACCACCATTGCGTGGGCCACGGCGGGACATTTCGATGACGACACGCTCTCCACAAAGGTCCTTTCCGTTGAGCTCATAGACCGCATCATCAGCATCACGATCGTCGGAGAATTCCTGAAGTAGGTTTCAATTATATTTAATATAGATATTAAATGGATGTTTTAATCAACTAGATATAATTTTTTAACTTACCACAAAGCCGAATCCATCCTTCAACACAACATCCATGATACGTCCGTAGCCACGGAAGAAGTGCTCGATGTCACGCTCGGTGGCACGGTGGGGCAAACGCCCGATATAGACGCGAGCAGAGGACATGTTTTATCCTGAAAATAATTATATTTATGTTAAGCTTTTTGTACCCAAAAACTGAGCAAGAGCATAGCTATATATTTCAACAATTGCATAGTTAATAGAATTAAAGAGAATTATAGCAAAAATAGAAATGAGATTTAGGCGGAAAAATCATAATAAAAAGTCAATATTTAATTACTAATAAACTTGAATAAAAAGTTATTGCGAATAATCAAAACTCAAGATTCGAAAATGGCTGTTGTTGTGGCGATAGTTACTTTCAACCCCGAAAAAGTGCAAAGTGTTGCGAAATAAAATTTGCAACGATGACTCATCGCACGGGAAATATTTGCGAAAACGATTTAAAAGTTCCCCAAGGTTACTTAAGAACGAGACAAGCCAACTTTAAAAGTAAATTCATCAATTCAAAAAACAGCGCTAAAAATTAGAATATTTAGGATTATATTTTAGGGAAGGTGATCCGGGAGTGGTGCGGAGGTAATGAATGACAAGAGATTCGAGCAACTGGTAGGGGCTATCGAGCAGATATGACCTTTATGTTGTGGCCATCTGCGACACGAGGCCCCCGGCACTTTTTGGGGGCGCCGCCGTCCCGCTTGGATAGGAAATGGGGCCGGGGCCTCCCGAATCGATCGGTCGGTTACGGTAGAAAGAGCGCGAGGTAGGCGGTGGTTTCACTTCAAATGGACTTCAAATTTTTGGGGTTTGGAAAACGGAATTGACTCCTGTAAGACTGGGAAAACTGGAAAATAACCTGATAATTCAGACTAATCCTAAGCATAAGGCTTATGCTTAAGATTTGGCTCAAGCTCAGGCTCAGGCTTAAGGTTAGGGTTAAGCTTAGGATTAGGCTTACAAGGAGTCGTTTTTGGGTGATATTGGAGTTTTTGAACGAGACCTAGCTAGTTCGATAAAGAAAAAAAGTCTGAACAAGATGTCGGTTTCCAAATCTGCTAACCGTGTACTGTATTCAATAAACATTAATTTTAATGAAAAAATTCCTGGACGTCAGACTATGGATCAGGCAATAGATCAAACGACCCATGATCAGGCCCGGGACATAGCCCACAACGCGAACCAGCATCCGCATGAGATGGTGGCCTAGTGGATAGTGCCGGCGCCTATCAAACTTTTGCAAAATTATGCCCAGGGTTCGGAACTTATTGTGATTTATTGTTTTGCTTTTTGGTTTTTCATGCCATTGAAATCGAATTTGGTATTATTGAGCAAAAAGCAAAAAAGTTTTACTAGCGAGGACTCGAACCCGCTAGCAAAAAAAGACAAAAAGTTATGAAGCAAGCGCACTACCAATAGGCCAGCTGATCATGGCTGGAGGGAGGCCTAAAGGGGGCTATGTTGACGCGCACCCAGAGCGCAGAATATGCGGATCAGGCGGAAAATGACGGTTAGATTAATGATTTTCAAAAAAATTTTTATTGAACAGCGTACACGGTTAGCAGATTTGGAAAACGACATCTTGTTCAGAATTTTTTTCTCTATCGAACTAGCTAGGTCTCGTTCAAAAATCTAATATCACCCAAAAACGACTCCTTGTTAGACTTAGTCATAGGCTTAGGGTTAAGCAAAGCAATCGGCCCAAAGAATGTATACTAAAAACCCGGCCATTTAAAAAGTTTTTGTAGCGTTGCGTATAGCATATTGTACTTGCATGAAAAGGGTAGTTTTTTTTGGTATTAAAACCCGTTAAAATTCGTATTCTTATTTTTTCGTTGTCTAAAACCTCCCAAAACCTTTTATTTCCATTTCCGGGACATAAAATTCTGTTTATAAAATTCCAGTTCGAAATTAAATGGCTTTTTCCGCTTCTCGCATTGATTCTCTGAGAGCCGTGACAAAACGATGAACGTCAGTGTAATTATTGTAGAGATGAACCGGGCTGCAGCGGATGATGTAGGGGTATCTCTTATCCACCTTAAATCAATATATTTTTTAAGATAAGGTGTTTTTACCGCTACACCCCGCCTCAACAACTCCTTGAAGATGACGTCAATGCTGACGTTGAACTTTAGGGATAGCTGCAGGATTTCATTAAATTTGTATTTTTACGATCTAACCTGACAACCACGCTCGTGAAAATTTTTTGGCGTAATAGATTTACACCAAATTTTCGATTCTCGTTTGTTGGAATCTTCGGAGCAGAATTCCTAAATATAAATAAATACTGTAAATAATTTAATTTACTAAAGCAAAACCACAAACGCTATCTACCTCGAGAAGATGCTCAAGGTATCCGGTGAGGTACATAGATTTGCTGCGTAGTTCCTCCATCGTCACCGTTTTAAAGACCTATAAAAAGCATTGTTTAGATATAAAATTAAACTGTCAGAAAGTTTATTAAATCAGAAATGTGACAGCAAGAAAAAAAATTCGAAATCACCTCCAACATTCCGAGAACCGGAACAACCAGGAAAACGGGCGGATTGCTAATCCGATACCCAGCGGCTCCCACATCAAGATCGAGCTCTAAATCGTATTTTTTAGGAAAATAATAAATATTTAACTATTATCCATATTAAATCGCGTCTTCATTTTATGACTCCACCAGCCGAGCATCCTTTCTCTCTTGTCTTCCTTGAAGCGTTCATGAACGAAAATTCCGGCCAGCCCTCCGGCGCCGGTACAGAAATATCTAAAATTCCGTTGCTTTATGATACAATGCGTTTTTACAAACTTGTACGAGCACCAGGCTGCAAAATCTACATCCCAGAAGTGAAGCTCTAGAGGGACATTTCCAAAAGCGTGAGCAAGATCCCAGCCAACAAGGCAACCCTGAAAATAGAAATGAAACATCGTAGTCTCCAGAACTTACTTTTTCATGACCTTTCTTGGTAATAGCCGGAATATCAAAAAGTTGTCCAGTATAATATTGAATTCCCGAAAAAAATACAATAGCAATTTCATCGCCATTTTCCTCGATATATTCAAGAATATCCTCGGTCCGGAGGGTTTCTTCTCCTTCCCTTGGTTCTAGGCAAACCTAAAAAATGACAAAATAGTTATAACATCAAATTCAGATAAATAAATTCAATGAAGTTAAATAAATAAATAAAACAAAAATAAAATTAAAACTTTACCATTGATTCCTCAACAGTCCGACCATGTAGCCTCAATTCCGATTCAATGGCGTAATGATCAGATGGAAAGGCTCTAGATTCCAACAGTATTTTATGACGTTTATCGGTAGGTTTGTAAAATGCTGTCTAAATATCATCATAATTTTATCTGTAAACTCATACCAATAAAACATGAATATTGACTGTCAGCCCATTCATCAGCGCCACTTCTTCCGGTTTTCCTCCAACAATTCGGGCCACTCCTTCTAGGGCGCACTCATCTCCATGAGCCCAGGGCACCGGCTCGCTCAGATGCCCATGCACTCCACTACGTTCCAATTAACGGGCGTACGAACACTCACTGCTCGCCCCATTTCGTGAATTGTTCTTGCATCAATCTGGGAGTGGCCTTGGGCAGTAGACCCAAGCTGTTTCCGCACATGTAGATACAGTCTTCTTCTGGGTTGACCAAGCTTAGATCGACTAAAAAATGCTAGAAATTTTTTGTTCTTTGGCGTTATCGGGGGGAGGGGATTTTTCTATTAGTTAAAATGCCTAGTAGCCTGGTAAGATGTATATCAGCGGATTTTTAGTACACAGATTCGATTACAAGCGCCCAAATTTTTAAAAACCTAGGAATATTTCTGAAATCGGTAACTTTTGTCGAAAAGTTTATTGCTTTCACTTAGACTTGCTTGTTAGATCAACTAAAACATGCATTAATTTTTTGGTTCTTTCG